AGAAATGCTTTAATTTTCTTACTTGAAGGGCTTAAAAAGTTGCAATTTCATGATTTTTTTACTGCAAATATCTATTTTTTTCTGTTAGAAGTATAAATGTAGTAGAGTCGTACTTAAAACCACATAAAATAGAAATATTTTCTAGTGAATTAGAAATAAATAAAATTAAAAAAGTATATTTTCGTAATTTTTACTTATATGCCATTTATAAACCAGAAACGACTGAAAATTCTCTCCGCTCCGCTGGGATTTTTTGGCGTTCATACGTGTGCAGTGTTGCGCAACGTTGTGTTACCTCTCACTCGCATGGTAGATCTCTTTCCCTCGCGCAGCTCTTATGGACTGAGTGGAGCATATCGTAAAAGTTCCTCTACTTAAATATATTTTATTTTCATCTAATTGTCATATTAGTTCTAGTTTTTAGTTGTAGTGTATTAGTGTTTATGTTAGTATTAGTGTATTAGATTAATGACTTGCACTTTTATATTTGGTGAATTTAAATTTATTACCAACAAAAAAGAGAAGATGGATAGAAAAAAGAAGAAATATCCTTGTGTCAGTAAAAAGAAATGTAACGCAAGAGTTGAAGTCATGAGTAAAGAGTTTTGGGAAATAACAATACAAACAAAGTTTTATCACAGTTGTGTGTTAACAGAATTTATTCGCACCTTGAACGTTAGATGCAGATAAAAGACCCACCGTATATAATAGAAGCAAAAGAAAATAAAAAATATAAAAAATCCCAAAAAAGTTAACCTCTACGCAATATTACACCACTCAAAAAATTTCCTTATTTTTAATGATGTAACAAACTAAATAAATAAGTATATGTGTACTCAGTTATTTTTTTTTGTTTTATTTTTTATCAACTTCCTTCTAAATTACTTCCCTATACGATTTCTCTTTTTTTAAAAAACGTGTACAAGCGTTATGTGTACGTACAGATTGTATAAAAAATCATATACATCCGTTATGAAGGGAAGAGCTGTAATCATAGAGCTGAACCATATTTAATACAAAAAATTCAAAAATAGAAAAAAAAATTACTGATTCTTCATACAAAATGTACAAGGTAGAGACGAAATTTGTATAAAGAGGCAGTTTTTCTTTCCTTCGGTTGTATACACCCTTTTTAAACCTACAACCCGTATAAACATTTCTAAAAACGACATTTATGAAATATAAAAAGATAAAAAATTATACTACCACGACAAAAGTAAAAGGAATATTTTTGGAAAAAAAAGTTATATATTTAATGAAGTAGAGCAACCTTCACCTGTGATCTCGAACGTATTTATGCAAGGGGAAGAGCACCCCCTCTAATGGCTGGGAAAGTAAAATAGCAAAGCTAGACGGAAGCCTTAATGCTGCTGTGTTTCGTATGGTGAGTGTAGAGAACCGGAGACCCTTTTTACTGGAAACGGGTGGCAACGCATCTACATTTTGATTTGTAATCGAGGATAGATGTAGATGTATATGGGCTGCAGCAACCACTTACCATCAGGTGGACTCTCTGCTCGTTTGTCACCCTATCCTATAAAAAATTTTTATTCAGTTCTCTACTCTAGTTACATTTATTTCAATACCTGTAAAGGTTGCTATGTGATGGACAATATGTATAATGTATGATCATATTGTACACTAAATTGGCAAATAAATTCTTGAATACTTATTATTATTATTTATTGTTGTATGTACCTAGTGTCATGTTAATAAAGTTATACTTTGTACACATTCTGACGTTTTAAAAGATAAACTTCATGCGGGTTTTTTACGCCTTCTTCCCAGAGATGTGTGTTCCTTCCAAAGCTAGTTTATCTATCTAGTGGTAGTTTACCTTCATTTTCAAAAGTTTATCTTAATTTTCAATAAGTTGTACTTTATACATTAGGTCCGTTGAATAAAATATTTTTAAACTTTAATCTAATAAGTAAAATACCCGTATGAAAAAAACATACACAATATATTATAAATATGTGATAATATATTCGGGAAAAATAACTACAGTTTTCATTATATGATTCACTGTATAAGTAACAGTATATTATACGAATATATTTTAGGTTATGTTGAAGTATATATTTTAATAATAGATTAATATATGTTAATTATATCTTATCTTGTATATATGGAAGATACATATTATTATAATCATAGAATACTATAATACATACATAATAGAACGGGGGAGTGGGCGGAGCCCGTGTAGCCACTAACATGTCACTAACATGCAAATTAACACCTATAAATGTTAACACAATCAATCGTTTCCAATTTTCGTGTCAAGCGTCGCTACATGCAAATTATTTAAAAAATGGCAAATTGTGCAATAATTACGTGTCGAATGAATAGCGGGAAATAGAATTTAAGTAAAGGAGACATATCTTATAACCAGTAAGTCGAAACTATTTATATTTTGTGAATATTAGAAACAAAAATAAATATTGATGTGTCAAAAACATTAATCAAAAGTCTAAGATGTGTAAATTCGCGAATCGGGTTTGTAGTAGTAATAATACGACGTAATTGCTTGTATGTGTGCTCTCGGCGACACCGACCCTCGTACAAAATAAGGTTGACAGCCATTCTTTGATGTATTATAATATTCTTTGATTATAATACTTTAATGACTACATAATTTATTCATAGGTACAATATATTACATTAAGCAATGTATTTTTAAATATATTTTTATGTTACATCGAAAAATATATCCTTATCATGTGTAATTAAATTTACATTAGCAGGTATAATTAAGTTAATCATTTTATTCATCTTTGAAAGCTTAAATTACATTTTAGAAAATAATCAATAATAGAGAGGTTTAATCATAGAAATTTTTTTTCGCGTAAACGAACACAAGTTTTGGAAAAAATTGTATCTAAGTTTAAAAAATATTTTTCATAATATATTTCAAAAGTACATTTTAAAACATATATTTTATACAATTTATAGAATTTATATTGCCATATATATTTCTGATACGTATGAAGATTATAAATTAAAAAAATGAAATGATAAAATATATAACCGCTAAAATATATAAATATATATATATATATGAAATCAGCAAAAATGTATGTATTGATTCATATAATCATATATGATATAGTATATGTGAAATTAATTATAAATAAATATGAGAAAATATTTTTTCCTTATATTTCGTCAATATATAGTTTTTCACAAGGGTAAAGGGGGGGGGGGAATTCCAGCCGGCCCCTGGCGCCGAAATCCCACGCTACGAGACTGAATGTCCCTACGAAGTAAATTGCTTTATTTTATATGTTAGCTCTGAACTGGTAAAAATAACCGAAGAGAGTATTTACTCTTAGAAATTTAGGTTACCTTTAAAAAGAAACATAGTTTTGAACTTCAAAATTCTTAGTATTGAGAAGCTATAAGTAACCCTAAATTTAAAACTCATAATGTGTGTTAAATGAAAAAAATCTTTATAAATAATTCATGATTAAAATTTATTTTTTTTCTTTTAATTTTCCTTTTCTGCAATTCAAGGTATAGTCTAAAAACACGATATACCATAAATTTGGTTCGTAATCTATCATTTAAAGAAATATGTGTATTAGAAAAACCAACAAATTTTCGAGATATCTATCACCTGTAGCCATATTTGAAATTCTTTGGGATCACTAAATTAAATGCTGATCACAAAACACCAACTACTATTCTTCCGTAAAATATGTTTTATTTTTTAGTAAAAAGTTACCTCCACACTAGGATTTTCATCATGTATCGTGGAGGCAGTTTACAAACATAAATTTCACAATTTTTTTTGCGCCCGAAGTAAATAATCGACCTAGACTAATAATCGACATTGATGAACGACCCTCCGGTTACGGGGTAGGGAGACGGTGATTGCTCATACCACACAGCCAGTTGCGTGGTTATGTGAAGACTTTTACCCACTAAACACCACCTTTTGGGATTGGCTTAACGATCTAACGAGAGATCTTTAAGCCGTAAACGGACGCGACCCTACCTGGGTGAAAGGAGGGCGCAAGCGGCGAATAGCCGCTTAGAAGTGTGTCTAACTAAGGCTGATTACGAGATGTGTTAAGTAGGCTCGGCTTGAGCCACCAGGACGCAGTTCAGGTCAGCCGAGCAGCCAGAGTTCAGGTCAGTGTTGGGGGGGGGGGGTCCGAGAGAGAGTTTCTCGGCCTGCGCACACTATAGCGAGTGTGAAGAGGGGCTGCATAGGCAGCTGCCTCGCGAATGAGGCGATTTGAGTGGGACTCTCAGGCTTTAAAGAATCTCTCAGAGAGTGTTTTGAGGAACTGCTGAACTGTCGGGAGCTCTAAGTCTCGGTAGAGGTCGGCGCTACGGACATAATAAGATGACTTCGTAGCCCGACGACAGAGGAATTGACCCGGAACAATTATTTGTAGGCCATAGAAATGCTTGTTCCGAGCCGGATTCGAGTTCGCGGCCCCCAGCGCTGCAACTCATTGCTAAGCCACTGCGCAATGGAGCCGTCAATTGTTTTATTGCTTTATTTCCCTAAACATTTTCTGGGGAAATTCCTTAACTATGGGTGAAAGTCGATTAAATTATGCCCAGACCGATGCGAATATTAACTTTGTTTTGTACTATTTTTTGATATTATAATATTTCGGTAAAGAAATTTAAGTTAAAAGAAAGCTTGTATGAACAATTTTTATATGTATAAATAATAACAAATATATTTGCTCTTAACATTGATGACCGTTCTGCTGCAAATGTATAACATATCGCGTCACGCTCATGTAAATAACACAAGTAACTTATATTTCACGTAGGACTAATTTTACTTCTCAAGCTCCTGTGTCTGTAATACAGGAAGTTCTCGCTCCCGCAGTGTTTAAAATAACTTTGACGGACGAAGATTGCATCTCAAAAGTGCATCTTCATTTGATAAAAATTTTAAGATTTCTCTTATTTAGACTGTAAAAGACTTTGTTTAAAAATAAGTTTTATTTAGATTATGTTTATAAATAATTAATATGACTACGGTTAAACTGGGTATAAGAGTGAGACCTTTTACGGAGAAGTTAGTAAATAATTTGTTATAGGTATATTTGTTATGTTATTACGCTTTTTTCATTTTTAAAGTTTTATCATCTTGTAGGGAACTTAAGTCTGAAAAAGATCGAGTTGCAGTTGTATGTGTGAACGATGAACATACAGTAACAATAACAAACATAAAAGTAAGTTATTATTGTGTTTCTTTTTTTAACATTTAGTTGTTTAACATTTCTGTAATAGTTTACCGACACTTCAACCTTAAAAATTCTTTAAGACGTGTTGGGTATTAGAGTTCACAAAGGAAAAGATATACAAACACACATGGTAGAGTTACGCGCTAGCGTCTTAAGGCTGCAGCAGGAATACGTCAGCTTGACAGGGGCAGAATCACGCTTATATTTTATACACGGAATATCAGCGTGAAATAGCAGTATAAAATAATTCCGCTGAGTTTCATTCAGTGTTACTTTTAACGTGGCATTCCAACTTAGTTCTCAGAACTGAAAGTGTCTCTACATCACAGAATAAGCTGTCTATGTCATGAAAAATCAATTGTCATCTGGTGAATTATATGCTTGTATGCTTTGTATAAAATCACGGTACATAAATACATCCATATATACTATTTGAACCTTCTTTTGGGGTTAAGTTATAGCCTATAATGTCCTACTGTTGTGCAGACGTCTCCTCTAAATACATAAATACATCCATATATATTATTTGAACCTTCTTTTGGGGTTAAGTTATAGCCTATAATGTCCTACTGTTGTGCAGACGTCTCCTCTAATTTCTGAGAGTCTAAGAGTATTGTGAAATCACGGCAAGTGCTTAGATCCTGGACTATCACAACTCACTGATTCTGGGGTGGTCTATTACAATAAACATAATTGTTTTAATTTTCAATAGTTTATCGTGACTACAACTTTGTTCAGGTAAACGCATCAGGCGCGGGAGACAGTCGTGAGCGTCTACGTCGATACTTCGCTGACTATACCTTCAACAGCGCTTGTTGTGTTACACACCAACACTATGCGTCTCAAGAAAGGGTATTTGTTGTGTAATTTTTTTTTATTAAATTTAGGTATCTCAGTTTTTCAAACGGAAGGGGTTTGAAAAACCAAGATAACTTTTTTATTTTTAGAAAAAAGAAAATAAGAAAAATAATTTGCTTATTTAATTAGTGATCTGACACTCCTCATGATTAGAATAGGGATTAACTGGGAAAATCTTCAATAACTTCAATTAACTAACATAGAGCCACTCACTTTTATTTCATGGGGAAATAACGGATTATGTCAGAATCGCACCGTCTAAAACGCCATTGAGTTTGGTCTTCACCGCACATAGGCTGAGCCTATGGTGTCCTACAACGGTTCTTGGTCAAATTACGTAAAAAATATGTTATTATTTGTCTCTACAAAGAATAATAGTTCTTACGTATTGGGTTCTAAAGTCAATGTTAAGATATTTAATAATATATGGTAAGAATTGAAGAATTAATAAATTAGAGCCCCGACTTCTGAAGTTATTATGTGTAAATTATTTAGTCCCTTTTAGTTCTGTGAAGTTGGCTTTTACTATATACAATAAATAATATAATATATTTAGAAAAGTTTACTTTTTTACTCTAAGTGGGCTAAAGAATATCATACTAATGCCGTTCAAATATTAATATTAAAAACTTCATCCGCTATTTCGTACCCTTAGGTGTGGAATTTTCGTCCACCTTTTTATGGGACTACTTCTAAAGTGTAACCTTAGCAATAAAAAAAGTTAACACAAGAACAGTTCACATTAGATGAAGATATACTCGTAAAAACCAGCCGAATTGAGAACCTCTTCCTTTTTTGAGGTAGTGCCTGCTTGTTGTACATATGTTTCTCGCGTCAATAATTCATGCACCACAGTGATCCATCACAAGATCATACATAGCTCAGTGGGATCATGGTGGAACAAGAATTCCGATAAAAATACATAGGGCACACTGAAAGTTCTGCACCTGCGGTGCTTTTTTTCTCCCAGACGGGTCGATGACCAAAAAACAGTTAATGCTACATAGTTTACATATACATAAATTTTTGACCCTAACTTGTATAGTCGGAACATTATTTATTTTGTTTTATTGACTATATGAGGTTTTATAAAGATATTTTTTAAAATGTTGAAAATATTTCTTTTTATAATTATTAGATATTCGAAACCATCGGTCAAGAAGTGTTGACGAGTATGTCACAGGGTGTATCTGCTTGCGTGCTCGCATATGGACAAAGCGCGACAGGCAAGACCTACACTATGATGGGGACAGAGTCTAAGCCAGGCTTGATACCGAGGCTTTGTCGGGCACTTGGAGATGAAAATCCCTCCGAAATTAAAGTCAGGTAAGTATGGAAAACATAGAAACAATGATGCATCAATTTATTTAACTCCGTGTATAATATTGACGGTAGCTCGCAGACATACTCTGTTATTCTGAAATTTTTAAGAAATTAGAAAACTCAATATTATTTGGAAGTAGATGGGCTTTTGTTTTCTTTACTCTCATTAAATAACTTAATTGGTTTGGTATTGTAAACATAACGTTTCCTGTAATGATTTTTTGAATAATTTGGAAATATTTCACTAAGTTGCCGAAGACAATTTTATAATGATATTTTGTAGTCAGATTGCATTTATCCGAATTCCGAATCACAAGCAAAATGTCTGTCTCTGAGTATTCCAAACAGTAAATTGTTTTTACAGCGTTATGCATTCCGTGTGGAGAAGACATGGATATGTTTGCAGTACACGCGATATCTCCAATCTATCTACATTGCCGTTTATTGGTAATTTTATGGAGTCGGTAATGGTTATATTCAACACGTAACATAATATGTAGCTTTCCAGTCAGTACCTACCTACTAAGATAGTTTTACATTTTATTCACGAATTTGTAGCGTCTCAATTTTAATATTGAATACAATATGATTATAATATTTACTTTATTAAATTACGTACAATTAAGTATCAGATTATATCATAATCATGAACTCTCACGCCTGTCATCCAGAGGGGTAGGCTGAGATTACGGACTTTCAACTGGCACGATCCTGATACACCTTTCCCACTTCTTTCACATTCATATATCTATGCATACATGCAGCTTGGTCAAGGGCATTCTAAATTTGGCCCATCAATATATCGCCAAGTAATCGTAGTCGATAAACATCTTCGTCGTCCCTTGCCGACTCTGTCATTACTTACAGAGAAGCAATAATTCTACAATCTAAATTCTAAAGATAATTAATTTAAAAATTATCATGCAATTTCTAACCCTATCATTCAGATATGGGAAACGTAAGTACGTACAGAAGTCTTAATGATCGCTTTTCTGCAGTATTAGTTTTATTTTTTGTTTCTTCTGCCACATCCAAACGTCACGATAAATACAACACACTAAGGTTGAGACTACACAGCATTGTGAATTGCTATATGTGTCTTTTATGGCACATTCTGACTTCCCACAATAGAGTGAGGCACCCAAAGTTAAAAAAATTCGTAAAAAAAAAAAATCAACCACAACCACCCAACCAACCCAAAAAAAAGAGTACCGAAAAATTGGAAAAAAAAAAAAAAAAATAAAAAAAAACACCCTTCCCCCCCCCCCCTTTTTTATCCCCCTTTTATTTTAAAATTTTTTAAAAAAAAAAAAAAAAACAACACACCACAAAAAAAAAAAAAAAAAAAACCAAAAAAACCAATTCTAACTTTTATTACCCCCCAATTTACTCTGTGTCCTTCATTCACTCTTCCTTCTACATCCTATAACTATTTCTACATTTACACGATTTACATATGCGATTTTCCACATAGGAAACTATACTCAGTTAAAATCGTCTGTTGTTTTAAAATTTTACCATAAATTAAAAGCACTGTATGTTATTAGAAATAAAAATTGTAAAGAATTTTTTTAATTAAGATTTTTAGTTTTAATGTTTGTCCATGTTTTTTGGCTTGGATGGTTACAATAAGAATCATGTAATTATCTATGTTGAATAAAAATTATTCTATTCTATAACCATCGTAGGTTTTATATTTATATGTTGCGCATAAAACTTTTTAGTGGGATTTTGTATTGAGTAGGAAGTCAGGTGTTCATATTATGAAATTTTGTAAGTTTCCAGAGAAATTCTGTCCTTCAACCCTGTGAATCCTCCTTATGCGTTCTTACCTATTTCTGTCACCTAGCAGTAGGGCATCCACAGACGTGTTGATGTATGAATTCGGAACTATAAATATAGGCTGTGATGCATTTCGTCTTAATCCTCAAAGATCATCAGCTCTGTAATGGCTAAGCATTTGGCTACTGTGCAGCGGTGCGTGTTTAAGTCCAGCACGTAACAACTATTTGTATATTTTACAACTATGTATATTTTTCCAGGTCTAGGTCTATGGTTCATTTTATACGTGGTAGAGCCATGCTGCAGCTATATTAGCAGTATAGTTGTAGTACGAATGGGTCGGCTCCACAGGGGAAGGATTACGCTCTCACAGATTACCAGTGTAAAACAGCAGCACAACGCTGCTGTGTTCGTATGAGTGTAGAGAAGGAGACCCCTTTTACGGGAAACGAGGTATTCCGTATTAGTCCTCACGGGTGACAACATCTGCGTTTTCATTCGTAATCGAGGATAGATGTAGATGTCTATGAACCGCAGCAACCACTTACCATCAGGTGGACTGTGTGCTCGTTTGTCACTCTCATTCTATAAAAAAATTGCCAGCCTATACAGCAACCAACTTTAAACAAAGTCTTGGAAAAGGATGCTTCACAAATAATAGGTCGGGGAAAAAGTTTCTTCGTATTTAGGTTGTATAAAATTGAAGATAAATCTCTTTGGTTGTAATGTTTGTATGTGGCTGATTTTAACATAATATATACATAATATACATAAAGAACAATAATAAAAATTAAAGTAAGTACAAAGAAAATATAAGAAAATGGACTTAATTCAGTGCCAGCAAGAGTAGCACAAAGTTGGTGGCTCGCTCTGGTCGCTCTCATATATGGATACAATCGATGGAGTTTTTAAGAAAGTGGAGCAAGATCGGATATTAGTAGTTACGACATGCCGAGGAATTGAGGATTAACCATAAACAGTTATGACCAATTTCAAAAAGTCTGGCTATACAAAATAGCGAAAAAAACAATATTTGGTTAGCTGTTGGTACGAGTTCACTGAAATAAACTTAATGAATCGTGTACTCAATTGCGATTCTCTACAAACCCAACCATTAAAATTAAAAAAGATCATAGTGAAAGAAGTAGTAAGCTCCACACTGTACTCACATTCTGAGGTATGGTGGAATTGGAAGGGCATCATTTAATTTGAGCTTTTACCGTTGATAAAAACCATCGAACCGGATTTCAAAAAATAATGAGACTCAAGCAAGAAATTGAGAAAAAATGGCCGGAATTGATCAACAAAAAGGGGTGGTCTTTCATCATGGTAACGTCAAACCACACACATCTTTGGCCACTCAGAAAAAATTGAGAGGGTTTGGTTGCGAAGTGTTAATGCATACTGCCCGTGGGCACGTGCAACCTGCAGTTAACTTTAAACAAAAAGGCTACAGATGTTCTCACCTCTGAGGACTAAGATGGAATGCCTACTTGATTATGTGTATAATAGGGTGAGCCGTGGTAGCTCAGATAGTTAACGCTTGCTGTCAATAATATAATATAACAGAACGCGGGTAACCCGGGTTCAACCTCCGCCGGCACGAATGAAACTGTTCATTACGATTTTAAGTGCTGATTTACCACGTGCTCGGCGGTGAAGAAAACATCGTGAGGAAACCGGCATGTCTGAAGAATAAGAAAAAAATATTTCGAAGACATGTGAAGTTAGCCAACATGCATTGGGACAGCGCGGCGGACATTTCCTTGCACTAAAACCCTCTCAGAAATGAGGGGAGGCCTGTGCCCAGCAGTGAGGCGTATATAGGCTGTAACTTTACTTTTACTTTTATAATAGGGCTACAGTTATATCGGCTCGATCGGAAGGTCCACGCACTCATAGAATACGAGTGTGATTTAACGACTTAATACCGCTTTGTTTCGTATATAGAGAACCCAAAACCCTTTTTACTGGAAACGAGGCATTCCATCGGTCGTCTTCCGTGAGGACAACGTATCTGCATTTTGATTCTTAATCAAGGATAAGTGTAGGTGTCTACGGGCCACAGCGTTCATCATCAGTTAGACGGTGTTTCTTTTGTCACACATTCTATACTCACAAAATATCGAAATACAGTAGCGCACGCAATTCTGCTTGAAAGGAAATAGATAAAAATGTTTTAGATAGAAAGGGAGTGCTACCACGTATTATAGTTAACCAAATCTAAGAAATACATTTTGACAGCTGTCAGACTTATTGCACCAAGCGTGCCAACCAAAAAATGGGAACGTACAATATTCGATTTAAAAAAAAATCGATGTCGATTATTTAAAGTTAGTAATCATTTACAGTTTGGTTTGAATACCAGAATAAATTAGAAACGGATAATTTAAAACACAAGATTTAAGCTTCTTCGTGTTTGTTGTTACTGCTTATTTCTAGAGACAAAGTTATATTTTAGAATGCGATTAAAATAAATGTCTGTTTTTCAGACCTTAATTACTGTCGTTGTTTAGATTAATTAATTAGTATTTGATTTTCAATAATGCAATCTAAATTAATGTCTCTTTCAAAGTTATTCAAATCATTTTTTTTTGTTTTTTCTACCAATTTTGCCCAAACAATCAAAAATCATAAAAAAAACAATATAGAAGAAACAGCCCAAAAAGCACAAAATTACAAAATTACGCACATCCCGAAATGACAAGAGATTGAAATCACGTAGTAATTTTTTTAAGCGCGGCCTTGTATATTAATTTTTTTGCCTATACAAATTTACGTTGACAAAGTAAAAAAAATAAACTTGTTTTATTCATGATTCATGTAGTTTAAAGAATTTTAATAATAAAAATTTAATTAAAAAATAATACATTAAAAATTAATGATTCTATTAATGATTAAATTAATGATTCTATTAATTATTAAATTAATGATTCTATTATTTTTGCCGATTATTCGCATAACAATGAATTTTAATCATCCAAACACTACGGTAGCGTACTATCGTTTGACATATCATTGTAACAACAAGTAAAAAAATTTGATACTGGTTTTTTTTTAATATTTTGCTTTGTTTGAAAGATTAGAATTTAAATTAGCGATAAAAAACTATACAGGTTGTAATGAAATATAGATAACTTCATAATTTTTCGGATTTACGTAAAAGGTTATTTTAAATCGTAGTAAAAGTTATTGCGGAATGATTAATGTGAAACGTCAAA